AAAAGCAGTAAAGTGATAAGACAATATACTTAAAATGTAGACAAGTTGAAGTTCACTTGTTTTTAAAGATCTGTCAGTATAAAGGTTCCAGTTGATGAGTTTGAATGAAAAATTTTAAACTATTAAGTGACCTTTGACTTGCCTGCTTCTATGAACCAATCACACACAGTGCAGGGAATATAAGGGGAAAAGATGGTTGGACCACCCTTGTGAGGACACACCATCTGACACTTTGGAGTCCGAACAATTAACTACCAGACAGAACTGCGTTAAGAGTTGGTTGAGGAGGCTGGGGTTGTACTTAGTGGTAAAGTGCTTACCTGCACACCTATAATCGCAGAGACTTGGGAGGCTGAGGTAGGAGGATCCAAAGTTCAAAGCCAGCCTCAGCAATTTAGCGAGGCCCTAAGCAACTTAGCAAGACCCTGTTTCAAAATTAAAATGAAAAGTGGGGGTGTGGCTCAGTGGTTAAGTGCTCCTGGGTTCAATCCTTCTACCTACTTCCTTAAAAAAAAAAAAAGAGTCTTAGGAGATGGGGCCTCATAGAAGGTAATCAGGTCACTGGAAAATCCCATCAAAATGGATTAGTATAGTTCTGATGGGACTCAAGTTAGCTCCCAGGGGAGTAGGTTGTTAGACAAGAGAAATCTGACCCCTGAGTCACTCTGGCTTCCTATCACACTTTAGGAGCTCTCTTCCATATGTGCTTTCCTTGTGATGCCTTCCACCATGAAGCCCTCTATAGAGCTAAGCAGAAGCTGGCATTATGCTCTTGAGCCTCCAGAAAGAACCCGGAACTAAATAAACCTCTTTACTTTACAGATTGCCTCACCTGAGATGTTTTGTTATAGCATTGGAAAATGGATTGATACAGTTGGCTACATCAAATGGCACTGGAGGCCTAGTATTAGTGTAAATGATATTTTGTGGTCTTCCTAACAGCTAGGATATCAGGATGTGAAAGGAAAATCTTTGAATTCTCTTGGTGATGAAGTCATGGATGCTCTTCATGTTATTGTACTCTTGTCTATATTCGTGACTGAAGGAAATGTTGAATTTGACTTAGGAGTTAGTGAAAATAAAGGTGAATTTTTCCCCCATTCAGATTCACAAATCCCCTGAAATCTGTTAATTAATCATAGGTTATGAATCTGATTCTAAAAACCAATATATTGTTCTTGGCTCTATACACACACCCGCCATCCACATGTGCACGTGTGTAGGCACGCACTCGTGTGCGCACACACACACACACACACAAATTCCAAATGGATTAGAATAATACACACTACATTCGTGGTTGTGGTTGCTTCTGGTAGCTTTAGAACTAAGGACGGTATATATAACAATCACAAAAAATGTAAAAATAATTGAGGCATTAGTAGAAAACTAAGTCACAAACTAATTAAACCTTTCTGGTTCATTGTCAATGTTCAATGAACCTTCATTCTTCTTCCATCTCCTCTCTTAGTCCTTGATGGTTCTGTCTCTAACAGGCCCATTTCCTGTTGTCACCATCCTCACTTGTGTCTTTGGTGTGATATACATTGCTCCTAGTGCACTGGGCATGTCCTTCCCCCTCAGTAATTTACTTGCATAGTGGAGATACACTAGGAATAAGACTGACGAGGCCAGAGGTACAGTCCAGGCAGAAACTGGACCTCACCTCATGATTCCCCCAGATGAAGAGAAAGTGGCTGTGGGAGGGAGAAGAGAGGATATGAGTCCTGAGAGAAGGTGCTGATCTCTTTCCTCTCCGTGGTGTGCCCAGAGCCTGGGCAGAACCCAGCACAGAGGTCATGGACAGCAGATGTCTTCTGAATAGTGAATGACTGCTTTTTCTATTTCTATAAAGCACATTATCAAACCGTAAAAGGAGTTGCATTAAGTCTGTTTAGCACTTTTGGTGGTATAGCCATTTTGACAATATTATTTCTACCTATAAGAACATGGGAGATCTTTCTAACTTCTCAGCTCTTCTTCAGTTTCTTTCTTTAGAGTTCGATAGTTTTTACTATAGAGATCTTTCACCTCTTTTGTTAGAGTGATTGCCAAAAAAAATTTTTTTTGAGGCGATTGTGATTTGGATAGTTTTCCTAATTTCTCTTTCAGTTGATTCATCACTGATGTATAGAAACACCATTGATTTATGGGTGTTAATTTTATGTCTGCTACTTTGTTGACTTCATTTATGAGTTCTAGAAGTTTTCTGGTGGAGTTTTTGGGTCTTCTAAATATAAAACCATGTCCTCAGCAAATAGGGATAGTTTGAGTTCTTCTTTCCTATTTGTATCCTTTTAATTTCTTTTTTGATCTCATTGTTCTGGCTAGAGTTTTAGGACTATGTTGAATAGAAGTAGTGAAAGAGGACATCCTTGTCTTGTTTCAGTTTTTAGCGGGAATGCTTTCAATTTTTCTCCATCTAGGATGATGTTTGCCTTGGGTTAGCATATATAGCTTTTACAATGTTGAGGTATGTTTCTATTATCCCTAGTTTTTCAGTGTTTTGAACACAAATGGATGCTGTATTTTGTCAAATGCTTTTTCTGCATCTATTAAAATAATCATGTGATTTTTATCTTTAAGTCTGTTGATGTGATGAATTACGTTCATTGATTTCCGTATGTTGAACCAATCTTGCATCCCTGGGATGAACACCACTTGATGATGGTATTCAGAGTTTTTGCATCTTTGTTCGTCAGGAATATTTGTGGGAGATCAATCTTGCATGTGACTGAGTTACTTCCCAGCTGGGTGATTGAGGCATCAGGTGGCAGATGCTGCTAGGCTGCCCCACCCTTCTTGGATTGGAGGGACAGTGGGTGTCTTCTTTGTGCCTGGGCTCGCCTTCCTACAGCCCCATGGGTGGAGCTATGCTCACCTGTTCCTTTGTAATATTACCCCTTGCCCTGTTTGGGATAGAATGTTCCATGGAAACATCCTTTGTGTATCCCCTTATCTTACTGTGCCCTTGGGTGTGGCCTACCTAGGTGTCAGTTAACCTGCTGACAGCAGACTCAGGAAGCTAGACTCAGCCCCCCTGAAACTGACCTCTTGCCTCATTTGAATGGCTTCTCCCCAGTAAAATCGGGTCAGCACGTGTGGGCTCTCTTCTCTCTCTCTCTCTCTCTCTCTCTCTCTCTCTCTCTCTGTCTTTCTGCAGGCCCTTAAGATCAGAGGAGCCGTCACAGCACCCCCAAAGAAAAAGGTATTTCTGTCTCTTGTATGGTTATTTTGCACAGCCCAATTAGCCCAGGTCCCCTGGAGTGACCCTGAGAGTTTTAGTCTGAAATTCTTTCCTTGCCATGTCTTTGTCTGGTTTTGGTATCAGAGTGATACTAACTTCATAGAATGAGTTTGGAAGGGTTCCCTGCTTTTCTGTTCCTTGGAATAATTTGAAGAGGATTGGTGTTAGTTCTTCTTTGAAGGTCCGGTAGGAGAATCTGTCTGGTCCTGGGCTTTTTCTTTGTTGGTATTCTTTTGCTGGTGTCTTCAATTTCATTGCTTGAAATTGACCTTTTCTATGTCCTTCTGATTCAATTCAGGTAGGTCAGTATATCTCTAGAAATTTGTTGATGTCTTCAAGATTTTCTATTAGAGTATAAATCTTCAAAATAGTTTCTGATTATTGTCTGTATTTCAGTAGTGTTTGCTGTGATATTTCCTTTTTCATCATGATTTTTAGTAATTTAAGTTTACTTTTTCTCTTTGTTAGTTTGGTTAGGGGTTTATCAATTTTTATTTATTTTTCAAAGAACCAACTTTTGTCAATTTTTTAAATTGTTAGCTGTAGGTGGACACAATACCTTATTTATTTGTTTATTTATCTATCTATTTATTTATTTATTTATGTGGCGCTGAAGATCAGCACCAGTGCCTCACATATGCTAGGCAAGCACCTTACCATTGTTTCAAATTCATTGATTTCAGCTCTGATTTTAATTATTTCCTGTCTTCTATTGCTTTTGGTATTGATTTGTTCTTTTTCTGGGGCTTTGATATGCAAAGTTACGATATTTATTTGGGGCTTTTCTGTTCTTTTAATGAATGAGCTCAATGCCATGAACTTTCCTCTTAGCACTGCCTTCATAGTGTCCCAGAGATTTTGATATATTGTATCACTATTCTCATTTATCTCTACTTATGGTTTTAAATATAGACTCTAAGTATTTTTAAAATTTCATCCCTGGTTTCTTCTGCTTATCCATTGGTCATTCAATAGCATATTACTTAGTGTCCAGTGTTACAGGGTAGCTTCTATATTTTGTCATTGATGACTTTTTTAATATTTATTTTTTAGTTGCAGTTGCACACAATATTTTTATTTATTTATTTATTTTTATGTGCTGAGGATCAAACCCAGGTCCCCAAACACACGAGGCGAGCACTCCACTGCTGAGCCACAACCCCAGCCCCTTATTATTGATTTCTAATTTTATTTCATTATGATCTGATAGAATGTAAGGTATTATTTCTCTATTTTTTTTTTTTTTTTTTGTATTTGCTAAGAGTTGCTTTGTGGCCTAAAATATTGTCTATTTTAGAGAAGGATCCATGTGCTTCTGAGAAGAAAACAAGTAAAATGAAGAAAGGTTAATTTCTTTAAAAATAAAAAGAAGCAAATATTTATAAGCAGCCCTGTCTGCTTATAATGTCTTATTAGATTCAGTTCACAAATTTGGAAACTGAGGCTCAACAGTGCTACGTAGAGAAGATCAGAGTCACATGGTTTCTAAATGACAAAGCCAGTGATTGGTTGCTTTACATGGAAATTTTGTACTTTGTCAGGTTGATTTCCAGATAGGACAAGTTGTTATAAGCTCAGATTTTATTCATCTTAGGTGCCAAACTATCCAACCATATGTTAGAGTCAAAAATTGTTGTACTTGAGTGTTTTTGACAATTATAAATGCTTTTTTTGTATTACACTGTATTGATAAATTTAATATTATATTAATAAAGAAACTGAGAAAAATGCCTTCCCCACCCCCCAAATTTAGGAGGATATGGCAAAAAAACTGGTCGCAGCAAAAAATGGAGGGAGTTACTGAAGCTGCCCCCTGTAAGCCAGTGCAGTGAGCTGAGAGATTCCATTGGTGAGTACTTGAGCCTACCTACTGTCAGAGGGGCCAGCTGTGCTCCCACTTTCTGTGTTCTGTATTTGTTTCAAGTATTTAGTTAGTTCATTTCCCAGTACTGGAGATTGAACCCAGGGACACTTCACCACTGAGCTACACCCCCAGCTCTTTTTATTTTTTGTTTTGAGACAGGATCTCCCTAAGTTGCCCTGCCTGGCCTTGAACTTGTAATCCTTCTGCTTTAACCTCCCAAGTAGTTAAGTTACAAACATTTGCCACCTTACCTAGCTTGGCTTATAGTATTTTTTTCCATATAGAGATTTTAGTTCTTTATACAGACATACCAATTTTTTTTTTTTTTTAATTATCTGCTGTGTTTCGTATTATGCTTTGGAAGGACACCTTTATTCCAAGATTATTTTTACGAATCGATTTGTGGCTCAGTGGTAGAGTGCTTGCTTAGCATGCACAAGGCTCTGGGTTCAATCCCAGTACTAGAAAAAACAAAAACAAAAACCATCAATGGTACTTGGCACAATATGGCATGTCAATAATCCCAGCTACTCCGGAGGCTGAGGCAGGAGGATCACTTGAGCCCAGGAATTAGAGGATAGCCTGGGCAACATATTGAGACCCCATCTCAAAACAAAAAAATCACTGACTGTAAATACAATAGTGTTTTTCTAAACTCTTGTGATTGCATTTAGGGCTCAGTAAAAAACCCGTGTCAGCATCCTTTATATAATCACATATGCAGGGACCCATTTTTCAAATAAGGTAACATTTTCCGGTTCCAAGGATTTGAATCTGTTATCCTGGGCGGCTATTATTCAGCCTTTTATATATGATAACTCTGTTAACTTTGTGAGAAACTACTAGACTTTTCCTGTAGCTGCATCATTTTTCATTTCCCCAACAAACAATGATTGGACTTCTTCCATGTCCTCACCAACACTTGATGGTTTCATTATAGCCATCTTAGTATGTGTGATTTGAATTTCCCTGATGCCCAATGATTTTGGGCAACTTTTTAAGGCTTCTTGATCATGTGCATATTTTCTTTGGACCAATTGATATTTGGCCTATCGTGTTAACAGTAATTTTTTCTGAGTATAGCATAGACAGATTAGTATGGAAATTGATTCCATTATTTGACATTTGTATCGTAATTATGTGAATTTTTCTTTTGGACTACTTATGATTTTAAATATATTTATAGACTCAAAAATTTTATTTTAATATACATTTGCTTATACATTTATTCAGTATGCCTCTAATTCTTCAGGGTAGTTTTTTAGCACACAGAAGAAGTAACTTACATTAAATGTCCCATTAGTTAACTTGTTAGTATATTTTCACCATGTTCCAAGGAAGAGGGTCTGCTACCATAAATACAGCAGTTGTGAAACAGACCCAGTCTCTGCCCTCAGAGCTTATAATCTCTTGGCAGATATAGATATAAAATAGAAAAATGATCATAGAAATAAACATAATTAATGGCTGAGCGCCATGGCTCGTGCCTGTAATCCCAGCGGCTTGGGAAGCTGAGGCAAGAGGATCATGAGTTCAAAGCCAGCCTCAGCAACAGTGAGGCGCTTAGCAACTCAGTGAGACCCTGTCTCTAAATAACATACAAAATAGGGTTGGGGGGCTCAGTGTCCCATTGCCCCTGAGCTCAATCCTCAGTACCCACTCCGCAAAAAAAAGGGTGGGAAAAAAGAAATAAACATAATTACAAATTGTAGGGGGACAGTACAGACAGCCAGGTGAGAGGAACTTAATCTGATCAGGAGTGAGGTAGAGAGGATCAGAGAAGGCTTCCTAAGGAAGGCACTGGGCTAGGAGCATAAAGTACAGGGTAAGAGGGACAGGAAGAGAATTTTCCAGGCAGCAAGGTTAACAAGTACAAGGGCCCCAACCTGGGAAGGTGTATGGCAATTTCCATGTTCTTAAGGAAGGCCAGTCTTCCTGGAACAAAGATGGAGGCGCAGAGCGGCACTGAATGAGTGGAAGGAAATGGTAGGGGTTCTAGGCCTGGGAAGGGGAGGCCTTACTGAAGTTATAAAAGGTTGACATTGCCAAGTTCTTAGCAGAGAAGAGATGTAATCAGATTTACATTTTAGGAAGTCTCTCAGGCCTCAGTAGGAGAATGGGAGCAGAGGGGTCAGCATGGAAACAGGAAGACTGTAGAGACTGTTGATGTTGTCCAGGCAGGAGCTGAGGGCAGCGTGGTTTGGTATGTGGTGATGGAGTTGAAACAGTCAGATCAGATGGGACTGTGAGAGACTGTAAGTAGAACCCAGTCGCTTTCTGTGTGCAAGTAAATGCAGGGGAGTTCTTAAGGAAGGCTTCCAGGTCTGTGTGTTCAAGAGGCAGCACATGGGGTGGAGCCCAGCCTGCTGGAACCGAAGCTGTGCGTTCATGTGGAGGGCTCAGAGAAGTCTGGGTGGTATCTGTACAGGTAGCATGTAGAAGTCGTGAGACTGGAAGTAGATAAGATCCTCCTCAGGAGAGAACAGAGGGAATGGGGAAGGGGCGCTTGACCAGCTTCAGAAGACTTTTCATCCTGTTTTGGCTCAGTGAAGAGGAAAGACTGGTCAGATGGACTAGCCAGACGCAGTCATAAGATGGATCCATGTAGAGTCTGGAGAGCTGGGGGTCCAAACAACTAGGGGCTGGGACAGTTTCAGGTAGGTGAGTGTGTCATAGAGATTGAGGACCCATTAGATTGGGCCACTGGTTCTGAGTCTGTTTTTTGGTCCCTAGAGCACTGGGCATGAAGTTGAGTGAGTGAAGGAGTCACAGTGACTGTGTACAAGCAGCCCTCAAGGAGTGCGGCATGTGCTCCGAGACGTGCTCTGCTCTGCTCTGCTCTGTGGGCACATCTTGGTCTATGGCCTTTTTTGTTGCTTAGTTTATAAGCATTTGACTTAGTGTGGCAGAAAGCATGCCTGAGAGTTTTCTAATTTTCATCCTTTGGTTGTTCTGAATTTGTAGAACAGACTTCATATAGAATAAGCAAGCTTGGTGCTCTGAGTTAGTGTTCTTCCTACAGGAGGGTTGGGGAGGGGAGAGAGAGAGAAAGAGAGAGAGAGAATGCATGTTGATAAACTTGGGAACCAGTCTCCTGTTAGCTGGTTCACATGTGGACAAGAGGAGTTGTTGAAACACCTCTTCCTCTTTTTTTTCTCCACATTTTTAAATTCGTGCATTATAGTCATACATAATGGTGGTATTTGTTGTTACATATTTGTACATGCACCCAGTATAACAATATAATCTGTCCAGTATCCTCCCCAGCACTTCCCCCTCCTCCCTGTCCCCACCCCGGCCCCTTCCTCCACTCTACTGATTTCCCTTTGACTTTTGTGAGATCCCTACCATCTTTCTTTTCCTTTTTCCTCTCTAGCTTTCACATATGAGAGAAAATGTATGACCCTTGACCTTCTGAATTTGGCTTATTTTGCTTAACATAATGATCTCAAGTTTCATCCATTTTCATGTAAATTACATAATTTTGCTTTTCTTTTTTTTTATTAGCTACACATGACATTACAATGCATAATTTCACTTTTCTTTACTGCAGAATAAAACTCCATTGTGTGTATATGCCTTATTTTGAGGCAGGTTCCATAGTTCAGCTATTGTGAATTATGCTGCTATTAACATGGTATACATGTAGCATGATAGTATGTTGACTTTAAATTTTTTTGAAGAGTATATTCTTTCATTTTTTAAAACATTTTATTTTTTATTTATTTTTATGTGTTGCTGAGGATTGAACCCAGGGCCTTGCATGTGCAAGGCGAGTGCTCTACCGCTGACCCCAGCCCCAGCCCCTGTTGACTTTAATTCTTTAGGATAAGAATAAATACTGAGGAGCGGTCTTTTAGCTCTGTGGCAATGTGGGCTCAGGACCCACATGCTTCCTATGTCTAGTCTGCCAGAACTTCTCCCCTCCTGATGAGCCTGACTTCTGCTGGGGACCAGTGCCCTCTTTCCAAATACTAATTCCCCTCTCTCTGTTGTTCATCTGTGGCACCCAGAGCAGCCTCTGAGGGTCACCAGGCTAGGAGCTAGGTCCTTTGACCCTGCAGAGTGGGAGCCTCTGGTGGCAGCATCTGTCTACTGCTTGAGAGATATTAAATTTTGTTACATATTTCTGTGATTTGTTTTTTGTGTGTGTTTTGTTTGTTTTTCATGCCATGTGAAATCTAACACATGGAAAAGTGAAATCATTAATGAAATTTTGAACCAGATAGGGTAAAAAGGGTTTTTGTTAGCTGCTGCTTTTTTCCAAAATTGGAGCTCTGGAGTTGCTTATCCAAGTCTGTAATAAGGGTGCATGTGTGAATGCCACAGCCAGCACTGCCCTCTCTGGTGGTTGCATAGTTCTGTTTTCCCAACATTCTCTCCAAGTGGGGTTCTATTGTGGCATGCTAATGGGGCAGCATCCCCACAAGACCCCTGTCCCAGTGCACAGCAGAATTGTCCACTTTGCTAGAAGACACCTCTGGTTCCTTCAGCAGTGTTCTGTGTCTCCCTCTTGGGTCCCAGCATCTCTACTGCTTGATTCCTAGCCTCTTGGCCAGCCACTCAGGACTGGACAGCAGGCTCCTGTGATGCTAGGGAGGGACATACTTAAAGAGGTCCAGCTTGTCCTTGGGTTCGAGTTAATGGTTCTTTTATTGATCCAACCCCATCAGCTTTCTCTCTTCCAGGCAATATGTAAAATTCTGACTCCTGGAGGTGCCTTACTCTTTTTCTGTGTTAGAGTTTTTTTCTTTATGTCATTGTTTTGTCTTTGTTTTATTATTTGGTCATTTTTTAGGAATCTGGGAGAGAAGGAAGGCAGACCTATGTTCTGGTCTACCATCCTCAGATGGAAATGAGGAGTGTTTCTGATTCTTTGGATGAGGGAGGAAAGTATTAAAAACTTTCATATTTCAAAAACATAACTTTTGACTGGCTTGTTTCTCTTGCTTTCTTAAGTATAGTTAGGTAGTATCCCTAAAATA